CCCATTGCAATATGTCGTTGTAATATTTGGCTGCTGCTTCCATGGATACGGATTGGAATGAAAGCAGAGTTAAATCCCTGGCAACTCCAGTCTTCTCTGTTGATCACAGTGTTACCCCTTGATCCAGTTACAAAGACTTTTGTTCTCTTTATGTTGGGGTTTGAGCCATACTGAAGACTATAGTCTTCGAGCTTCATCAGTAATTGCTCTCCAAACTCTTCACTCTCAGCAAGCAAAGTTGTGTCCTCTTGATAATCATAGTTAAGTCTTTGTCCACTCCTGATGCCACATTCTTCCTCATATATTCTAATTCCCTGAATTACTTGTTCATCTTACAAATTGAATAGATATGATGAAAGGATCAAACTATAATGAACATGTTGCCTTAAGAGTTTAAACCATGCAATAGCTCCTTGTTCTATTTGAATAAGAGCACAATTATGTGTTCTGGAGTCCCATCATTCCTGTTGTTATCTATAATATGTTAATAAATTATAAAATCAAATGACTTGGTCAATGAAACTCAAGTAAACATCTTTCTGGTATTTTCTGCTTTCAACTGAGATCCCATCTGACATCAGCAATGATATCCCTCATTCCATGTCCTCTCTTTAATAAACTTGAATTTCTGGTAATTTATTATCAAAATTCTGCTCTCCACCTGATTTTTTAAATTATATTCTGCAAGATTTGATTTGCATGTGATATTAATGAGATTGTTCTAGAGTATCTGTATTCTGGTAGATCACCTTTCTTTGGAACGAGCACAGTTATGGATCTCTTCTAGTCTGCTGGCCAAAGAACTGTTTTCCAAATTTCTTGACTTAAGCTAATGAGCACATGTAGGACTGCATCTCTTTGTTGAAGCACCTCACTTGGTTTTACATCAGTTCCTGAAATCTTGTTTTTCACCAGTGCTTTCAATGCACATTGGACTTAGTCTTTCAAGACCATTCACCTTTTTTCCCCCCCCCCACTTGTGTTTTGTAATTTTATTAACAAAACAAAAACCTAAAGGGTTCTACCTGACAGGCCTGCAGGGGGGGGGGCAAGTTCTTGCTGTGCCCCCTACTCAAGTGTCCTGCTGCCGGATGAAGGAGTTGGGGATGTCCTGCGTTGGGAGATGTATCCCCACTGTGCACTCCTAAGCTTCCTACTGCTGGATGAGGGGTTGGGAATGGCCTCCATGCCGTCCTGCGGGTAGAAGACCACCACAGATGTGCCCTGGTAGACCACCGGGCCCAGCTGTCTCGTGTCCTCAGTCTTCAGTCAGTTTGTACTGGTCGTCAGGGTCTCTCATGTACTCGAAGGTGCCATGCAGTATGAGGTTGAGGAGAGGGTCAAACCCTTTCAGGATTCCACTGGCTTCACAGCCTTCTGGAAGCTTCACCTGCACTGTCTCATGAATGTACTGGGATAGATCCAAGATGCTCTCCTCCTTTTTCTTCTCTTTGTCCACCATCTTGCCCAGCTCACCACTGTCAGCACCATTTATCTTGATGAGATTTTACCTCCTGAAATTATCGAACACTGAGCATTTCATTTTGGTGCAGTGACTCTGTGAATTCCTTCCATCTTCTTTTGATGCTTCTTGCATTATTCAATAATTTTTACCCATAGAATCTTTCAGTCTTGCGATGAGAGTCTTGAATTTTTTTCTTTAGTTCTTTCAGCTTGAGAATGCTAAATGCCTTCTTTCTTTTTGGTTTTCTAACTCTAAGTCTTCACATATTGTATTTTAATACTTTGCTTTGTCTTCTCAACCCTTTTAATCTTTTGTCCAGCCCTCTCATATCATCCTTTCTTTCATGGACTTTAGCTTCTGTTTGTCCTGGAGCAAGTTTCACGATTCCCTTCTGACATCTATTTTGGTCTGTTCTCTCTCCCCATCCTCCTTTTTCTTCATGAAGGTTTTCAAAGAGATTGGATTCCTTCATTCATGCTTGTGCATTTTTCTCCCTCCCCTCCCCTAATTCTCTTTGAAATGCTCCTTCTGTTCCAGGCTGTTAATTGTCATATACGTAGTTTCTAACAGTCCATTCCTTTCACTCATTCCACTACAGTGTTAATTATCTATCCATTTCCCCCTACTTCTTCCACCTCCCTGTCTCAATCTTGTTAAACAATAATATAGTTTATGCCATAGTTGTCCCTTTGTCAATGAGAAATTTCAGTAAGAAGAATGTCTTCTAGACTCATCCACCTATTGTAGTATTTTGCAAGCTTAGTGTTTTTCAGTGCTGTGTAGTATTCCATTGTGTAAATATACCTTCCTTTTTCCAGCAATTTGATTGTTGACGGGCACCTGGGTTGTTTCCATCTCTTTGCTACTGCGAATAATGATGTTATAAACATGAATGTGCTTATATCCTTTTGTGTTTCAGCTCTGAGTTCTTTAGGGTATATTCCCAGTGGAAGGATAGCTGGGTCAAATGGCATTTCTATTTTCAACTTTTTGAGCATGCGTCAGACTGCCCTTAATAGTAATTGGACCATTTTACATTCCCACCAGTGTATGAGAGTTCCAGTCTCTCCACATCCTCACCAGCTTTTGTTATTTGCTGTCCTGTTGTACTTTGCCATTGTTGCTGGGGCGGGATGTTATCTCCTTGTTGTTTTGATATGTATCTCTTTAAAATCTAGCAAATTGGGGCATTATTTTTAATGTGTCTGCTGACCATCTGATTTGGTTAAGTTTCTGTTCATATCTTCTGCTTATTTTGTGATTAAGTTGTCTTTTTCGTTTTGATGTGCTAAAATTCTATACATTTTAGTTTTAAGTCCCTTATCAGATGTCAGAGTCACATCCTTTTCACTGTACTAGAGGAGGTTTTTTGATGGATACAAGGATTTGATTTTTAGAAGACATCTATTTTGTCCTCTCTTCGCTGTAGGTTTCTAGTTAGGCTATAATTTTTTAAAGGCTATTCATACTGTATATTAGGACTTCTAGCCTTTTGCTTTCTTCAGGTATGACGTGCTCGAACACAACTCATCTGGTCTTTGGTCTTTAGTGTTGAATATATTGAATCTGTTCTTGAGATTATCTCTAAATTCAGATAAGAAAAACTCAAGGTCATATTTTGACTCATGTTTTGTGTTCAGCTTGAACTTGAATTTGTGTCCGAGCAATTCCACAGTCAGACCCTGAGCTTGTTCTGACTGTCTTTCTCTCTCCACAGTTGTAGTCAGTTTGATTTCTGTGTATCCCATCCAGCAAGGTTCACATGTATAATCTCTTCTGTAGTTTTTTAAAGAAGGTATTTGAAATAAATCAGTTTCGATATGTACAAATTTCTAGCATTCACTCGCCTATCTCATTTTTATCACCAAGGCCATATTTTCCAACCATAAATCCTTTGTTTCCAGCTTTTGCATTCTAATCACTTATTATTATTCATGCATATCACTTGCTAGTTTGATCACTATCTAATTGCAAAAGGTGGGGGAAATTCTCAATATTTCATATGTGGCTTTAGTTGTTGGTGCATAAATTTGAGTTAATAGTCACATTAACAAGTCTTCCTTGAATTCTCTGTAAAATGTTATTTTTTATTTTATATTGATTTACATACAAAATTGGTATATGTTGCGTTTCATTCATATGCATTGTGTTTAACACGTTTCTTTGTTCACAGTGTGTTTCATATGATCATTTCCATACATTGTGGTTTTCTTATCTGTTCCTTACCTTTAAAAAAAATAGTTCATTTTATATTGGTTTGCATAAAAAAATCTTATACATCGCATGCCACACCTTCCTTCATTCACATTGTATTTCATACAATCATTCTTATACATTGTTTTTTATAAAATTAATTACCATTGAACTGTGTCTCCATAACCCCATCTTTTCAGGTCCTTGTCAGATCTTCTCCATTTCCTTTACCCTCTCCTTCCACCCACTAAATTGTGCAACCCTGTGATTTTCCCCCTGCCCACCCTCACCCCTCGGCTCCCACCCCTTCCCATTGTCTTTTATAAAATTAGTCCCCGTTGATCTGTGTCTACTCTTACTGCATCTGTTCAGGTCCACACTGAATCTCTCCAATTTCCTTTACCCCTTCCCTTGGCCCAGCAAATGTTGGAGAGGATGTGGAGAGTTTGGAATTCTCATACACTGTTGGTGGGATTGTAAAGTGGTATAACCACTCTGGAAGGCAGTTTGGCATTTCCTCAAAAAGCTGAACATGGAAGGTCTGTATGACCCTGCTAGGAATTTATCCCAAGGAAAATAGAACTGAGACACAAGTGGAGATTTGTACACTGATTTTAATAGTGCATTATTCGCAGTAGCAAGAAAATGGAAACAGCTCAGATGCCCATCAACGAATGAATGGGTTGAAATGTTCTTTTTAATAATGACTGAAATGCCATCCTTTATTTTGTAATTCCCAGTATTGTATACCATGTGATTTTTCTGGTGATTGTCTGGTGGTAAAGAACTCTACTGTAAACCCAAAGGCATGTGGCTTGAACCCACCGGCTGCTAGAAACATGGACAGTCTCCTTGTGTGCAATTCACAGCCTCTGGAGCGACAACCATGAGTTGATTCTGACTTGATGACACAACCAACCATAATCCTTTACCTATTACCGTTACCTAGAATATCAATCTTTTATGGATGCTGTATAGTTTTGACAACTTACTGTTTTCCTAGATTCATACTCTGTACAAGCCACATTCTAATCATGAATGGGGGTTTAGAGCCACTTGTCTTCAGTTTGATTTTGTTCAATTCAACAACTGAAGGTGCTTCCCTGGCCGAGAGTTTTGCTCCTTCCGTGATATGAAGGGAGACTGTGCTCTGAGAAGGAAGGCTCTTCCCTAGTCATTTGACTGTGGGTTCACGACACTCTAGCTCTATAATATTCCATAATTCTAACACTATTGAAAGAAATAATTACTAGTTTCTACTTTATGGAAAAGCTGACTCTGTGGCTGTTATTCTCCTTTTTATTTTACAACACTCACCTCCTTGTACATTTCTTGTTGACAGGTATCATCACAGGAGGACAGCTGAGCCTGGTGGACATTATCTTCCATTACATTCACTGTGATGAAATCCCCGAGGCAGTTAACATCCTGAGCAGCATGAACTGGGATAGTCTGGGCCACCAGTGCTTTATCGGCCTGAGCACCATTGTAAACCACCTTCTTAGACAGAAGCTCACTCCAGAGAGAGAAGGTCAGCCTTGAAATAGATTTCATGACCAATTTGTGCAGCTGTGTGTGTGTGTGTGAAAAGTGTGTACACGAAGTACATTTTCATTGAGTCCATGTTTCTGAATTATGCTTATAACAGCTTAAAAGACAAAAATGCTACTGTCCTGTTAAAATGGAAAGAATCAAGTATCAAGTAATTGCTCCCATACTGTCCTTCCTGCGCGGTATTTGTCAAAATGAAGGGCAGCGTCTTTGTGTGTGGTTATGTTGGAACACACAGTACAGCCATTGTCCATTAGAGGCTCAGCCTGTGTGTGCAACCCGCTCCGGTTTCACACTTTGACCAGGAATTTCATGAACTCACTGGAGAATGGTAGACAAAAGGGCGCAGACGTCCGTATTCCTCCTTTAACTGTCAATCTCAACATGTCTCTCTCACTCTCAGCCTTCCACCTGGACAATAGCACTTTGCAGACACTTCTCATTCTGTGTGTTTGTGTGTGAGCACCAAGTTTGCAGCCCAAAGCTGTTACTTTGTGTTTTAGTTCTTCCACTTTAGAACTTGCCCTGACTCAGAGTCACACAACAAATATTTATCTAATGTTAGTCCAGTGTGCATTTGTTGAAGGTAATGTAACTCCTCTGTGAACACTCTAATATGTTCTACCTTAGGGAAATTCCTAGCATTGTGCTTGGTACACAGTGGATACTCAGTGCATATCGTCATGTTGTTGATTGCTCTCGAGTGGAGCATGACTCATAGTAACCCTATGTAGAACTATCTATCGTCACTTCTCAAAGTTCATAGACTTTCCAGAGGCATGTGGTTTAGGAAGTGGATTCCAATCCTCTTTCCAAACCTGTCTTAAACTGAGAACTGCACCAAACACTGTCCACCATGGGTAACTATCATGGCATTTGACACCCTAATGGCATAAGGTTTAGCATCACAGCAATCCCAGGTTACCTCAGTAGAACATACTGACAGAAGCATGTTATACCACTTAAAAGAATGGTCCTCTGAAATATAACAAATGGCTTTTAAATACAAGCCTTACCCAAAGTCTTGTTGACTCTCAACAAGAGGCTTAAATAAAATACCAAGTATAATGCCAAGGTTTTAGGGTTCTATTTTACTGTAATGTTTCTGTCTGCAGAGTCACCTCAATTAATGAATTATTAGTATTGATACAGTCTTAAAATTGGGGGCAGAACAACACTAACAGCAAAAGGAGAGTCCCTAGTGAATGCTTGTTATAATAGACACTGTTCTAAATGACAATTGATAAAGAAATAGGGAAAAGCTAAAACAGTGACTGTCACTCAGGACGCTGGGGAATTGCCAGCACCCTAGTGAATCTGTGTCGTAAGATTACTTGCTGTAAGAAAGACGGTTAGGGACATTACAAATGAATGTTATCGGACTCCTGCCCTAATAAAGAATGTTTTTAAGGAAACCTACCGAGGAGATGGAGACATAAAAAGCTCATAAGGTACTAGGCTATTAAAATAAAAACACTTTCATAATGCTAGGTTATTAGAATATGTATGTTTTAAAAAGACACGTGCATTTCCCCCATGAAACGGCACAGAACATTACTGAAACATTCCAGGTTGTTCTCAGCTGAAATGTATTCTGTGTGAATCTAACAAATTGGACACAGTAATTTGTTTTCCTTTTTATTAGTGGAACCCAGTGAGTTCTTTCATTTGCAGCAGTGTTGCGTTTATCGTTGAGATCTTCATTTCTGCCTTAAACATCAAGCTGGGCTATCTAATGAATCTCTAACAGTGCTGGGAGTCACGAGGAGTGAGGAGTTCTCCGTGCAGGCGTGAGCATTTCAGATGTGCGAAGCGTGCTGTCAGGGAAACAAGCAAAGGCAAAAGAATTGGGCTGGTTTTCACAATCGCTTTGCTGTATTCGGTGTTAATCTAAATTGACTGCTGCTTTGAAAGAAAATACCCCTAAAGTTCATCTTGCTTTACTGTCTAGATTTTAGATTAAAAAAAAAATAAGTAAAATCAACAGCTTAGCCAAGTCCATAGCAATTAGTCTGATGAGGTATTTAATACTTTCAACCCCAAATGTGCCTAAAACTATAAAAGAGTTTTGGTATAAAGAATTGTTTATTCAACCCAGTGCTAGTCGTATAAATATCAGAGATTTAACTACCTTGAGCTCTCACACCCTCTCACCATTTCAGTAATTACTTATCTCCCAGGTGTTTCGGGGAGGGGGGGCGGTCAATAACCCTGTAAGGATCAAAAATGGACTTTCTTGCTCTCACAACTGGTACTTACTGCCAGGTACTAAATATTCACCTAATCTCGAGCCCTCTGGTTCATGAAAACATGCTTGCCACCCCTTCTTGACTAGGAATGCGTCAGTGGACTAGGAGTTTATAGCCTGTCATCCTTTCCAGGGAATGTTAGTTACCTTTCAAATTCGGACACAACTAGAATCTTGACGCTTTAGGGGAAATAGAGGGAATACCATTGTCTCTTAGAAAGCAGTAATAATAAGCTATTTAAGTTTATGTTAGTTTGCTTACATAGTTTATATACATTGTTTCACTCTTTTCTTCATTCACATTGTGTTTCATTCAATCATTCCTATCCATTATGTTTTATAAAATGAATCACCATTGGACTATGTCCATCATTATCCTGTCTTTTCAGGTCACCACCGGATCCTTCCCTTTTCCTTCATTGCCTCTCTCCACCCATCAAACTGTGCAACTCTTATGATTTCATCGCTACCCATCTTCATCCCTCCACTCCTACCCCTTACCCCTTGGGTCCCCATATATGTTTAACTAGTTATTCTTCTATTTTCACAGCAATAGGCTTATGCAGTATTTGTCCTGATGAGACTGAGTTAGTTCACTCAGCATAATGCTCTCCTGTATGTTACTTTATAATTAGCCTTGCAGGAATAAGAATAGATCTTGAAAAATAGCAAGGCTAATTGCAAAATACGTGCATTTCTCCTACACTGATTGTGATTCACACTAAAGAAAGGCTTACTTTCTCCTTCCAGCTAATGAGCAAATACAGAGCAGGACGTGAGTTGATTTTACTGGAAATACTAGTTCACACTCTGCTCCCCGGATGAGTCACTGTTGTAATTACCCCTTTGTGGTGAGAGGTTGGTTCATTGTGGATTTCTTCAGTTCTGACAGCTTTTTGTAGCTCAGCGTCATTGTCGGCTTTGCCTCAAGTGAAAGTTTATACACAGGTTTGTTTTTGTACCAGCTGTCATATTTTAATTTCATCTTTCCTGCAACAAGCTCACATTTCATCCAAGTCTGAGAAACCTGACTGACTGTAAACACGAGTATTCTGTTGTAATTGAAGGAGTCTCACTTGTTGTCGTGCTGCTCTGTTTGAATTCCACAGCACAGCTCGAGGCAAGCCTTGGAACCTTCTACGCTCCAACAAGACCACTCCTGGATTCAACTATCCTGGAATATAGAGACCAAATCAGCAGATACGCAAGGAGGTTCTTCCACCACTTACTCAGGTGAATGGCATCTTTGGGTTGGTTGGGGTCAAACTAATTACTTATTTCACAAGCAATCGTCTGTAAATAGAATATTCTCAAGTGTGGCTATTTGTCTTCTAATAGCCCTTCATCACCTGGGGCGGCGGGGGGGGGGAGCAAACAGAACTCTGGGTATTCTTTATTTAATCTGCTCTTTTCTTTAAAAAAATAAAAGGTATATAATTGAAGATTGTTTGACTTTTCCACCACCTCCTGCTTGTAATTGCAACTTTACTCTGACAGCAATGCAGTATATGAAGTCTGTTGAAAAGGATTCATTTGCTCCTAGTACTAGAGCAATCTGTAGTTTGAAGTTAAAAATACTATTCCAACACGGTAATTGTTTGCTTTACTCTCAGAGTGATGGTGGAAAATTTTGTCCACTGTCCTGCAATGTAATGTAGAAGATTGCATTTTCTCTGCTTTAAATGAGGATAACACATTCCTTTAACTTTCGAGATTATATAGAAGAATTAGATAATAATTTCAAGAAATTATTCTGTGAAAAATATTACAGAACTTGAAGGACTATATATATATATATATATATATATATATGTCTGTATATTAATGAACAGCATACACTTATAAAGACAAAGTAGTTATTTCTATAAAGTTTAGAGACAAGGTAGAAGGATGGTTCATTGGTTAGTTCATTTAGGGATCCAAACGAGCAATACTATTTAGAAAAGGAAACAACACAAATTTAGGATTTCCTGAGGGTGAGTAGAGAGAAATATGGGGAAAGGCACATAGGTGCCTTGAAGGTATCAGTAATGTTCCATTTTCTTAAAATGAGTGGGATATTGATGAGTGTTCATTAACGATTCTTTTATATATATATATATATATATATAGTATATGAGGTGGATTGATTCAGTGACTGGGGTAATCTGGATGGGTGTGTCAGAGGCAGTGCGATTGGCACAGGATAGAGCAGGGTGTAGGGCTGTTGTACATAGGGTCGCTATGAGTCGCAAACGACTCGACGGCACATAACAACAAACAACATACTTAGTATAGTTTTCTGAATTAAATAATTTTCAATAAAAGTAATGGAATTTTCAACTCCCATAGAAAGCATTACATTAATGAACTTACTGTAAGCATTTTCAACTCTGTAGCAGAAAGCATTTCATTTATGAATTTATTGTAGTTTTATTATAATAATATTACTTCTACTACTACTAGTACTCTTAAAAGGCCTTTTACTCTTTTACAGACTCCCATGTAAATTTCCCTTTCTTCTTTTTTTGTTAGAATAATCCTGTAAAGAGATTTGTTATCTTTTAACAAATGAGTAAATTTGAGCCATGGCTAAGTGGCTTCTTGGATCAAATAACAAGTCATTGGTGACATCAGAGCTAAAGCCTGATTTTCCCACTTGTCAGCTCCTCACTCATTCTTGACCAAAGGTCTGTCACTGATTGTGAAATCTTTTTTATTCTGTCTTGTACAGTAACTGGAAATTGTCATCCATTAGAGAGTTGTTGTTCTCGACGGAGGAAAGGGAGGTGGGGCTTCAAACTGGTGAAGGTTTGTGGAGCCCTGGCGTTTTGTGGATGGATACTCACATTCTGTAATTAGGTTGCTGCTTGTAAAGTGGCACTTTGAACTCTAGCCAGCAATGAAACCTTCGGAAAATAGTCTTTTTCTTGAAGCTCAGAAGCAGTCATATATTGCGAGAGCTTTGATTTGTAATTGAATCTTACCTTTATGTATGAATGACTTTAGCATATTCCTAAGAGACGCTTTCTTCTGAATAAGACAAGTCTCTGTTTAGGAACGTATGCCAAGAGTTTGACCTTGTCATCTTTCTTTAGAGTTGGGGCTTTGTTCTTTGCTCTCATTGCTACTGAGCACTGCTAGAAGTTGAGTCCTAGGAGCTGAGATGCTGACGCAAAGGCCTGAGGCTCTGGTTGAGTCCACTAGTCCCTCTGTGGAGAAAAGATAGACAATCTCTTCTCACACCTCTGAAACTTAACGGAGGAGGCTCAGCAATGTGTCGGCTCCAGCTGCACAGCAGGAAAGGGGGTTTTCCCATTGCTATTCTTTCCCCCTCTGTTTCTAGGTGACTTTCGATTATTTACTTGCTTCTTGAAGAACCCAAAAAAGATTAGTCACAATAAGACAGATTGTTGTGATCTCCCATGCCTCCCTATCCACTTCTATTTTGCAGTTCGGTTCTACAGAGCATCACATATTAGAGCTCCTTCTTTGGCCTTGTTGTTGTTGTTGTTTACCATCGAGTCACAACCAGCCTGAGGCAGTTAATTGCACAGGAGAAGATTCTGGCCCCAGGATGTTCCTATTCTACAATCACTCTACTCATGTGCAAATTTTTGTTTATTGAGATTTGTCATATGCAGTTTTCTGGGGGGTTTTCTGTTGCATATTTTGGTGAAACTATTATTGTTATATTTTATTATTATTATTAATATTATTATTATTATACTGTAGCTTTCCATGTATGGTTACATCTGGAATTGGGCATTTTACCTCAATGTATAATAGCTTTATCATGGTTGCCTTTTTTATGATTTGCTGTTATTTCAGTTATAATTAGTTTATATTCTTTATTTAGCAAAGGACCATATCCAGCATCAAGCTGTGGTAACAGAGTGGTTAAAGCTCTTGACTGGTAGCCAAAAGATGGGCAATTTGAGCAGACCAACTGCTCTACAATGGAAAAGATGAGAATGTTTCCAGCCATAGAAACTCTTCACAGCAGGCCTCCTCTGTCCTACCTTCTCCAGCTAGGAATCATAATTTAATTGATGGCAGTGAGTTTAGTTGCATAGCAAGTGATTGAAAAAGACCAGGGCCTGAATCAGGCACACCTTAGTTCTCAAACTAATATCTTTACCCCTCAAAATTGAAGAGGTCCCTGACTATACACGTTTCCAGTGCAATATGTCTTCTGATCTCCTGACTGCTGTTACCAAGTATATTGATTGTGGATCCAAGTAAGATGAAATTGTTGACAGTTTCAGTCTTTTCTCCATCTATTGCAGTGTTGCCCATTGGTCCAGTGGTAAGAAATTTTGTTTTCTTGATAGTGAGATATATTCCATCTTGAAGCCTTTGATCTTCTGTAGCAAGTGCTTCAAATTCTCGTCACTTTCAGCAAACAAAGTTGTGTCATCTGCATAACAAAAATGTTTGATTTATCTTCCTCCAATCCTGAAGTCATATTCATCTTCAAGAAAAATTTACTCAGTATGTTGTTGTTATGGGCTGTCAACTCACCTGCAACACATAGCGACCCTATGTACAATAACTCTGAACCCTGCCCTGTCCTGACCCTCACTGACTCTGACACACCTACCCCCATTGCCCCAGTTACTGTGTCAACATATCTCATCTGGTGTCTTCCTCTTCTGTGCTGTCTCTCCACCCTTCTGAGCATGATGTCCTCCTCCAAGGACTGGTCCCTTCTGGCTACTTGTCCAAAGTATGTGAGACAGAGCTTCAAAGTCCTTGCCTCCAAGGACAAACTTGTTTTCACTCTCTCCAAGACAGACCAGTTTGTTTTCTTAGTGGTCCATGGTATGTTCAAGATTCTTCTCCAGCACCACAACTCAAAGGATTCAATTCTTCAGCTATTCTCCTTAGTCATTTATCCAGGTCTTGGATGCATAGAAAGTAATTGTAAAGAACATGGCCTGGATCAGGTGCACCTTAGTCTCTAGACTGTCATGGGGAAAGGGTACAGCCATGGCACATACTTTTCCTAACTCTAAACCATTTAGTGCTTGCTTGCTCTCTTTGGACAACAGCATCTTGACCTCAGTATAGAGCTTAGTCATGTAAAGACAATTAAGTGTTCTGGGATTCTTATTCTTCTCAAGTTTAGCCATAATTTGTTATGATCCACACAGTCAAAAGCCTTTCCATAATCAATAAAGCACAAATGGACATTCTTCTGGTGTTCCTTGCTTTCAGTCCGGATCCATCTGACATCAGCAATATTTCTTGAGCCACACCTCTTCTAAGTCCAGTTTGAAGAAAATTCTCTGTTTATATACTGTCTTGGTTTTGAATGATCTTTAGTAGTATTTTAAATTGTATGATACTAATGGCATTGTGTAATAATTTCTTGTGTTATCACTGGAAAGCTTAGGGAATTTTAAATTACTTATCTTTTAATTTTTGTTTATATATTCATACCACTTAGTTTATTTAGAGAATTTTATTTAACTTTGCTTGGGTTTGTTTGTTTATTTGTGGAAAAGGAATGATGAATTTTTTTTCTATCTCGAAATTGTAATTTGTTTACATGGAGTTTAGCTAAATTCAAAGACAGAAATAGAGTTTGTGAATATGATTCCTTTGTAGTTGCTAGTATCTGTCTTTAACCTAGTTTTTTTAAAAAAAAAAATTAAGCCATATTCTCTCTTTCTTGAACATTGTCCTTCACATGGCATGTCTCAGAGATTTAAAAAAATTTACATTTTCAGCCACTGACTTCATGTAAGAAGACTGGAAAAAAAAAGAAAGTCTTTGAATCATGCTGGTTCTAAATGACCGATGGTTCACTAAAAATCAGCACTTACAGGAAACAGAGCTACATCTATTATAGTCATTTGCTGGTGAAGATGGGAGCCCCACAGAGGTTGGGGTTCACTCACTCACTGGTAAAGCTGAAGTGGAACCCAGATTATCTGACTCCAGATTGGATATTTTTATAAGGGATATGACAGTGCTTTCCATAGCTTCCAGAACATAGAGGATGTGGTTATAATTTGAATTTGTGATAGTAGGCACAGATTCATTGGATTTGGATTGGATTGGTACGGATTATTAAAATGTCTTTATATGCATTTTAGGGGTGTATATATATAATATCTGTAATATAATATTTCTATTATAATATCTCTAAAAAGAGCAAGAGCTGTGGGGACAACCATATCTGACTTTACCAACTCCACAAAGGGAAACTTTCTCTGTCAACCACTCAAAACCAATTCCCCTGAGCT